GGGAGGGACGGGGCTATGGTTTGACTCTCCTCCAAAACTCATTTTAAGGTTTAATCACCACTGTGACAGTAGTAAGAGGTGGGACTTGTAAGAGGTGACTAGGTCATGGGGCATGGCCGTCATGTTAGCCTAGGTTAGATAGCATGGCATGGCTATAAAAGGGGAGTTCAGTGCCTTTGTCCCTTGTGCTTGGTGCTCTTGTAATGCCTTCTGCCATGCACTGATGCAGCATGTAGGCCCTTACCACATGTAGGCCCTTGATTGTGGACTTCTGAGCCTCCAGAACTGTGAATCACATAAACTTGCATTGTTTGTAAATCACCTAGTGTGCAGTAACAAGCTAAGACAGCAGGACAGCAAGGTATCCCTGTCTGATAGCCCATCTCGTTCTAGTGGGTTGGAGGTAAAGTTGTCACCTAGAGTGGCACAGGGGGCTCTTGAGAGCTTCTGGTACTCTGAGAAAGTGACAAAGATCTGGAACAGTTCATAGAAGCTGTATACAGGCCCAGGTTACAGTGATGAGCTGAAAGGTGACTCTGAGAACCAGCTGAGGCCATGCCATGCTCTAACCTGGGCCCCAGCAGCTCTCAGGCCACTGGGAGATCTGTTTGCACATTTGCAATGACTATGGTTGATCAGGTAACCAATGTCATCTTGCACATGCAGGATGAAAAGGATGGTAGAGCCGGGAGGAGTGTCACCTGAGGGCAGATGACACTGACAGGAAGCATGGCAGGAGCAGCATGTGGAAGACACAGGAGAACAAAGCATTGGAGAGATGAAAGGTGTCAATCAGTGGCAGAAAACAAGAACAGAGAAGAAGAACCCACAAAGTTATGTGAACACACAGCAGATAAAGAAGCCAGAAGCTAGCCGGGCTGACTATGGGGAAAGTGATGACAGGCGTGGCTTTGGGGTTGGACTGGTAGAAGCTCTCATGACCCAGTAAAGGCTGTACAACACTCATCACCTTTAACATTGTTGTCAGACTCTAAAGTCAGGGTAAAATTGCTTTGTCTCCTCTGCAACATCCCACCCCAGTGGTCTTGAAACTTCACCAGGTGATGGGATTCAGCCAGTGCTGGCTTTGTTTCTCGGGATCTCAGAATTCTGCACCCTCTTCTCCTCTCTCAACATGATGGTGGAAAAACAATAGTGACATGAGCCTTGTTTTCAGGGGCAGCTATGGGAAAGGCCAGCCAACATCCCAATGTGAGATGACACACAGCGGGTAGGTGGCTCAGTGGACATAGACATTACACCTTACAGACAATGCTCTCAAGGCACATCAGCAGCTTCTCTTCCCCTCCCCTCCTCGCTGTCTCCCTGCAGGAGCATTCATGCCACAATCATCAAGAAGGGCCCTGCATCCGCTGGTAGTGGCCAGTCTTCTTTGCAGCAGTTGTAGTTTTCCAAGTTTCAAAGTGCTAGGGAACAGAGAAGCTACCTGGGACCAGCCCCAAGAGCAGCCAGAAATCAGACAGGAGCCACAGTCAGCCTGAACTGAGCCAGGACAAAGGGCACAAGAATTTGTTCTACTAGTACTTACCAAGCACAGAAAAGGCCTTTCTCTCTGGAGGTGATAGAGAGTGATTTGTGGGGCTAGAGGGAGAGGCAGGGCTGCAGACATTACACCTGAAAGTGGGTGCCAGAGGGATGGGGTGGCTCAAACAAAACAAAATGTGCAGACCAGGGAAAGCTTGCAAAGAACGCTCAGTACTCTCCTCTATTTCACACAAACCCACTTGTTTCTGAGGCATTCTCTAGGTTCCCAGTGTCTGAGCCTGTGATAGGCTAGAACTCACTGCAAGATTCAGCCTTAAAGATACTTGACCCAACAAAGCTGCCTCTCAACAAACAGGTACTTATTATCATCCTAGAGGCCAGTGAAACTCTCCACTGGCATGAGGCCATGAATCCTAAAGACATTTCAAGATGACATGACACATGGAATCATTCTAGGGAATATTATTGGGAATTAATTTAATTTGTAAATTGTCAAAACTCAGAGTGGACTCTAGATATGAAAATTTAAACACTAAGAGCCTGAAATAAATGGTAATGAATCTTTGATCTCTTCAAAGAAGAGCTTCATCTGTGTTTACATAGTGAGACAGTCTGCAAACAGGCTGGACCAAGCTGGGCTGCATTCTGGGAGTAAACACTGCTCATTTCATCCTGGCTGGAAGCAGACATCATTCCACATCTGAAACCCTCGAGAACACTTGTTTTCTTCCTTCTAAACATCCACATGCAATTTTTAAAAATAAACAAAAGACACCCAATCTTCTCTGGATGGTGAGATTAGTGGTGATTTTGTTTTATCACAAAACACTGTATTTTCAAAAATTTTGGCAATGAACCTGCATCATTTTATGAGCAAAAGCCTAATTTTAAGATAATGAAGGAGAATTTCCTGTTTTAAAAGAGAATGTATAGTGTGTTGGCTCTTGTTATAGCTCTGATCAGAAATATCATGCTTGTACAAAGAAAAGTAGTTCTTTGGGTAGAAACTGTTACCAAAGTTAAACAATCCAAAGATCGTGGTTATAGTTAAGAAAAGGGCTTGGCCATAAGAGTCTCAGAGGCTCAAGAGAATCTCACAGTTCAAACCCCAGTTCCAATACATACTAGCTACGCAAACTTGAACAAGTTTCATGACCTCAAATCCAGAGTTTCCTGTCTGTAAAGTGTCACATGGTGGGGAGGGGGAAGAGCTGTAAGACCTGTATGTACCTGGATACAAAGCCACAGAAGAACTGGATACAAAGCCACAGAAGACGTGCCCAGGTCATTACCTGGGGTGTGAATACATACTGTACAATCCACATGGCTTAGATCAAGAAAGATGTAAGGCACGGAAGAAGCTGGGAAAAGTCAAACGCACCGCCTGACACAGAGCCTTCTATCCTGAATTTTAGCTGAAATTACCACCATGTGACCAACACCCACACACATTCTCTCTGATTTCCCCTTTTGATGTTCTCTGTGGTAGGGTTTGGGTTGTTTGATTTAGAGAGAAGGAAAAGACTAGGAAGGTGGCTAAACCTTGGGAACTGTTACTGTAATTTGAAGTTGGAATGCACAAACACTTCCCACAATCAGAAGCAGGAGCCTTACCGCTTCCACCAGGGATCTGAACGAGGCCTGACTTGGCTTTGATAGTTTTCAGCTCCCCTTAGATTAGTGGGTGAGCTCTAGGAATATGGGGAGAGGCAGCACAGGGTCACCAGAACACACGACTGCCACTCAACTGTCTCTTAGTCAACGAGCTGTGCAAACCACCCACTTATCCTGTTCTTGAATTAGTGATTATCTTCCCCAGGGAGAGAAAATGATTCTTTTTGGTGACCTGCTCTGCTTCAGGTGCCAGCCTGACAGCTCAGTGAGCTCTCTGCTACCTGCCCACCTCTGGCCAAGGCAAAACCAGAAAGACAGTAAATCAAACACCAGCCTTCAAGAATGCAAATGACTCCCCAAACCCAAAGAAGCTGAGGAATTTCCTTTAAAACCCTCAAGTCTCAATTTCCTTCCGTAGATCAGATCCAACAGAGAAGGAAAGGTACAAAACCCCGTTGCTTCTAATCAGCACGACTTTTTTCCCAGCACCCAAATCCCTGTATCTGAACCCCTTCTCTCCCACATCTAGACCCCTAAATTCACTCCTGATCAACCTTGGAAGTAGGAAGAAGCTTGGAGGTGATCTGGGTCAACTTCTCACTTTACAGATGCGGCCAGAAGCCAGATAGCATCTTTCCAAGGTTCCGCGGTTAGCAGCCTCTCGCCTCCTCCCGGGTTTCCCTCTGCTCCCTGTCACAGTGCCTTGTAGCAAGAGCTGCTGGAGCTGCTTAGTTCTATTTTAAGCTAAACCCTCTCATTCTAGAAACCACTCATACAAAACACCGCATCTCACTACCCCCACTTCTCTTTGGGTCTCCATTTCAGGCCATCTCTAATGGGGTGCAAGCTCTCTAGGGTTCGCTAGCAGCAGGCCTCCAGGAACCCATCTTAGGGTCTCTGCCAGTCAGGACAGAGCAGGGCTGTTGGTGGTGGGAGGTGGTGCACTGTGATGCTCCTTCTAAAACACCTGAACTTGGTCTTCCTACCTACCAACCTCCCCAAAATGACAATGGGGAGTTGAACCAACCTCAAAGAAGGAAGCCCTGAGAGTTCAATGGACTTGCAAAATGCTGCCAGGCCACAGGAAAATAGCTTCCTCTTTCTGCTGTCTCCCCCTCACTCCTCAGGAACTTTCAGTCCTTAGCCACACACCACATCTAAAGACAAGGGACCCAGGACTGCCCTCAGCCCAGGGAAGTCCCTGAAGGGTGGCAGGAAGCTTGTGGGCTGGGGATGCTGGGCCTGGCAGGTCTCTACCTGCAGGGATGATGGGATGCCTGGGACCCCTGCAGGACAGAGGAAACTGGTCGCTATTCCCTTGGCCTTTTTATTCTCCAGTGCCCAGGCTCCCTCCTTCCTCTCTTCTCACTTCCTAGGCATGTCTTAGCTTCCCATTCTCTGCCCAGCTCTCCCTATTTCCTCTTGCAAGGAACTCCCGTCGTGTTTCCACTGTGTCTCCAATGATATCTAAATGCAACCCACCACAGATGCTGACATTTTAAATGTTTAGTTGTTATAGTTACTTGACTAATTGCAGCCCGACGACGGCGGCGCTTCTCCTTCATCTCCTGTGGGCCGGAGAGGAAGGGCAGGGAAGGAGCGGGCAGGTGGGGTTGTGCCCGCCACTCCCAGGCAGGGATGCTCAGCTAGGCCCTGGACAGGGCGTCCCGCTGGGCTTCAGCGGCCCCTCCACCTCCAGTCAAGGCAGGGAAGGGGCCCAGCCTTGGGACCCCCGACTGTCGCCTGTCTCCTGCCTGGGACAAGAGGGGCGCCTGGCTGGCTTCCCGCAAGGTGCAGAAAGTGGGTGAGATCGGGAAAGGAGTCGGACAGGGGCGCGTTTGGGGCAATTGAAGAGTTAGAACTCGCTGCCGGTTACTCACGTGCCAGATGGCGAAAAAGATGAGCGCAGCGCACAGCACTAGGGACAGCATGTAGCAGAAAGCAGCGAAAGTGAAGGCCATGGCCGGGAGCTCTCGCCCCACGCGCACAGAGAACCGGTGAACTTGTCCTGGAGTGCGGTCTGCACGCTCGGCTCCAGGCCAGCGCCAGGAGGACCCCGGCTAGCAAAGAGCCTCGAGGGCCTGCGAATCGAGCAGGACTTCTGCAGGCTCCGGCCACCCAGGACCCGGTTCGCCCACGAAGACTGGGAAAGGTGCGCCGAGGATCGTTGGCTGCAACTGTCCCCAAATCGAGGATGAAACCCAATCAACAGCAGTTGCAGATCAGTGCCAACTAGCGAAGTCAAAACGGCGAGGAATGTGAGGATCCCACGGAGGACTGATGGAGGAGGTCCTGTCCCACCGGAAGGAGGCCCCTGTCGTCCGCGTCCAAGAGGACCAGCGAGCGCGCCGCGCACCGGGGCGCAAATGGAGTGTCTGGCGAGGTGCCGGGGACTCCGAGCTCCTCTCGAATCCCACGGCCGACAGTGGCTCTTTTCCCGGAGAAAGGTCTTCAGGTAGCCGAGAGGAGCCAGGTCCCCTTAGTCCTGCGCCCTGGGCGTGGCTTCCAGCGCAGCTGTGCGCTCCGAGGCGCGCCCGTCCCCGGCCACAACCGGGTCGCCGGCTCCGGTAACCCAAGTGCTGGGCAGCTGGGCGACCGCAGAGCGGGTTCCAGGCCGACGCTAGCTCCACCTGCTGCTGCGGCCGCGCCGCCGAGAACCGCGGGCGCCGCCGGACCCTCCCCCGGCCCCACCCTCGCTCCCGCGCCGCGCCGCGCACGCCTCCCGCGGGCGGGGACTGCGGCGGGGGCCGGGAGGGAGGGGGAGGCGCCGCGGGGCGCTAGCTTTGGCGAGGAACTTGCGGCCCTCGGCCGCGCAGGGCGGGAGGGGCAGGACTCTTTAAGCACGTGCGCCCGGGTGTGAAGCTGCGGAAGGCTATGGCGCGCGCCTCGCGCCCCGGCGGCCTCTAGTGCCGGGGTTTCGCTCATCCCAGCGGGAAGTGTGGAGACCCCGGCCCAGCGGCGGGTTGTCTCTTGTCGGGTGGAGACCTGGGGATGCAAGACAGGCCTGGTCCCGGTCGCTGCGTGGGTGCATTTTCCCAGACTGTAGCTATTAACTGCTGGACTGCGTTCTCAGCTCTGCTCCCAGCCCCAGCAAAATCCTCCATTACCGTCGTTCCCGGGCATCCTCCACCCTCCCCTGCTATCCGACCTTGGCACTGGGGAAGCGTGGACTTTGTGGTCTGTGTTGGGCGAAGCGGCGCAGCAGTGTGTCCTGTTAGCCACGTTTGTCCAGGGGCCCTCTCCAGAGCTGTGCATTTGGACGCATACCTCTTTCTAGCTAAAAGTTCGTTAAGCCTGGGTTTCCTTACCAGAAAAATAGGGATAAGAGTAGACTAAACCATTTGAAAGAGTCAAATGGAAACGAGGAAGCCCAGTATTTGGTACTTATTGGATAAGTGGCAATTATCATCATCTGTGCACTTTGCCCCGCTAGCCCAGCGTCTTGGAAGTTCGCATGCTTGGTCAATGAAAGAGGTTACAGTCGTTCCAGATAGAACTTGAGTTTCAGATAAGTCAGTCCAGAAAGCAAGGAGAAATGCCCTGAAAGATGACCAGCAAGTCTGGGTGGAACTCTAGCCCGCATCATGGTTCGGAGTGAATCTCAGAGATCCTAGTACTTTGCACAGGTGTACCTTGCCCACGTGGGCACTAGATCAATCATCGTTGCTTGATTCTAATGCTGGCATACTAGCTGCCCTGTGAGTCCAGTGGCTTTGGAGCTAGAAGGGAAGAGTTACAGAGAACCAGTCATACAAATAGCCAGGGACAGACTCAGATATGCAGGTTCCCAATCAGCGTTCTTTCTGCCACACCCGGAATTTCTGCAGCCGTTTGGCCACACCTCCCATCCAGAAATTAGATGCCTGTCAGTGGAATGTGGAGAAGGGGCAGGTCCAGAGCTGCTGACCACAGTAGTCAACAGATTTGCATTTAATTGCCTTTGGGTTGGGACTGGCTACATACTTCACAAGGTCAAAATGAAAATGTGAGGCTTCTTGTTTAAAAATTAAGAATTCAAAGCATTAAAGTAAGCTGGTGCCCTTCTCAGCATGAGGTCCTGGCAGACGTTTGGACTGTGTGCCTGTGAATCCAACCCTGCTCTTGTTTTTGCCTTTGTCATGTTCATGTTTCCATAACGTACGGCTCTGCAGCCATCTTGAGTCCTGACCGCCATGGCTGTCTGTGAGTAACCCCAGTTAGGCCCCCTAGTTTCCCAGTGTACTGTAAATACTACTAGACCCTAGCACCAGGAACATGCCTGACTCTGATATTAGCTCAAGATAAACCAGGGGCATCCCAGCTTGGGTGAAATCACTTTTGCCCTGATCGATTTCTAAGCCAGTGCTGTCCTGAGCCCTGTGCCTCTTTTCATGGGTGTCCTGGTGCCTCGGGCCTGTTCTCACACACTAAGATCAGGTTGTTCCAGAGCACATAGTATTTCTTCCAAAATAAAGTGTCATTAAAGAAAATTTAGAAGACACAGAAATGAAAAGAGGAAACAAATACCATGGTTTGCCCCTCTCAAACACACCAACAAAACAGGCATTTTTTTCTGTTTTTTGCTTTGTAGTTCATATCTTTTTGTTGTAATTACACTATATAAAGTTTTTTATACCAAAGCAACAAAGACAACACCAAAGGAAAACTCAGTGATTCAAATGATTGAAATCCCTTTGGAGCTGATCTGGCCTTTTGTTCTCCTGGTCTTCAATTTCTGTTGCTTAGGGAATCCTGGCTCCTCGTGTGTCTAGTCATTTTTTATTATGTGCCAAACATTGTTTTGAGCAGATTCAGCAGGCATTCCACCCTGAGATGACGTTATCTTTCTCCAAGAAAGATCTTCTACTTCCTCTGCTCGGTGTCTAGGGAAACCTTCTGCTCCAGAATCACCCTAATCTAAACTCAGGTTTGAGGTTTTCTGGGCTGACCAAATGGTGGTGGTTGGCTTATTCTGACACTCCATAACTGGCATGGAGCAGTCCTTGCGGATCCCAAGTCAAAGCAGGTGGCTTATCAAGAACTAAGGCATGGGCTGTGACTTTTGCCCCCAGCCTCACAAAGCGCAACTCAGCGCCCCCCACACACACATTTGAAAACACCTTAGTGCTGGGCCAACTTCTCTGGATTCCCAGTCACTCTCGGAGTCTGGCTACAGTAATCCCTTACTCTCTTCTTAGGTCTTTGATGCTTTCAAGATGTTTTTATACCTCATTCAGTGTTGTATGTTGTGTTCAGTGACAGCATTTGTCTGAACTCTATAGCCCAGAATCCAGAATCAGGAGTCTCTACATCAAAAGAAAATACCAACAAAACAAATTCCCTGTCCTTCCCCTGACTTATTTCCAAATCTCCATCCACATCGCAGCTTTGATTTTTCTTACTCTTTCCCCAGCCCTGCTTTACCTGTTTTACCAGGGACAGAATGATACCTCAGAAGAGACTGTAGCATTTCAGAAAATGTTACTTATCCATATGTGCTATCAGGGATCTAAAAGATTTTGGCCTAAGGTTTCCTTCACCCTGCAGTGTCTAGAAGAAGAAAAGTACGTTCAGCACAGCAGAGGAAGGCAAGGGAGAGGCATGAGGGAATGGATACTGATGATCAACCTGTATTATCTTCTACTGTCAATTACATGTAATCGTGTAACCATATGGCGTTTCCTTAGCCACCATGTAGCCATGAGGGACCACGTGGCACAGATTTGAACTTGTGATATTCATACTTCTTCTTGCCTGGGGGTCACATCTTGTGATGGGGAAAATGGGAAACTAAGAAGATAGAAGGCCCCAGAGCCACTGTCATGCAAGTGAGTCGCCCTACCCTCTGTTATTACCAATACTTACTTCCTGAATTCTCGTCGACTGAAACAATCAAACTCCCTCTCTTAGCCCATGGACGTAAGATATTTTGTTACTCACATGTGTACACAATTCCTCCCCAACACCATGGTTTAACCAGAGGGTTCTGGTGTGACATGAAGTAAGGATAATCAGTTTAGGACTGGTGTAGCAACTCCAGGACACCATTAATATCTCAGACCCTTTTACCTTCCTGACTTCCCATCCTTAGCATGTGGACTTTATTCTCATGGTCACAAAAACCCTGCTGCATCTTCAGCCAACATGTCCATATTGCAGGCAGGAAGAAGGAGCCAGAAGTTTTCACCTTATGGAGTCCTGTCTTTGGGGTATAATAAGGAAGTCTTCCAAGGAGCTCCTGTGCCCCACTGGCCAGAACTCTGACACTTGGCCACTTCTACCTGGTTGCAAAGAAGTCTCAGGAGACAAGCTTTCCCACTCCAGTGGTTATGAGACAGGGAGGAAAAGCAGAAGTGGTGCTGAATGACTTTGATGAGGCTACCCAGATTTCTGTCACATTGCTGTCAACCAGTTTTCTGGTACCTGCAGTCTGAAACAATGTCTAGGGGGCCGTGAGTTGTGCTAACAATGGTGTGAGGAAGGGAGCCCTTCAGCTGTAGACAGATGGCCAGAGAGGCCTCACAGATGAGGTGGCAGCTTAAGGAGAATTTTGTCACTCTTTCTCTGCTTGTCAGGCTGATTGCTCAGGGTCCTGACATTCTCAGCCTGTTCTTGCCCTTCCTCAGTTGTTTTGTTTTACTTTTTGTTGGTAGGGAGGAGATACTGGAGTTTGAACACAGGGCCTTGTGCTTGCAAAGCAGGTACTCTGTCATTTGAGCCCCTCCCCCAACTTGTTTTGTTTTTTTGAGGCAGCATTTTGCCATGTGACCCAGGCTGGCCTCAAACTCATCAGCCTCCTGCTTCAGCCTCCTGCTTCAGCCTCCCTAGTGCTGGGATTACAAATGCACACCACCATGCCTGGCTTTCCTCCTTAGTTTTTACTTATAAGTTAGTTTTGGTTTTCTGCCTTTTCCTGTCTTATGTATAGTAACACTTCGGTTTATTGAAGGTGAAGACAAAGAAAGCCTCCCCACACATCTTAGGCTTGGCTCATCATGAAACTCTTTCCAGCCCTGCCCCGTTTCTCTCTTCCCTTGCCCTAATGTCTCACCTTGGCCTCCAACTGCATCAGGAAATGGTCAGTGCATAAGGGGAGCAACTGGGGTCATGAGAAACTTCATTCAGTGACTGCCAGGCTCCTCCTGTCCCATCACTAGCCTGCTCCATCCACGGGAAGCCTGCCAGGACACTTCCTTTAACACAGAATTCAGAGGATCTCTTGACTGGCTCTGAACCTTCCAGTATTGATAGAAAATGTTCAGTTACCCCTGCTTCTCAT